GTGATATATATATATATATATATATATATATATATTGGACAATAAAAAATATTAAAAAGTTAAAATCTTCAGACACACTGGGATGTAGATTAATATTCTTTCGTTTCTATTATTTCTATTTCATTTAGATTCCTTTATTATATATATATATATATATATATATATATATATATATATATATATATATATATATATACACACACAAATGTAATGAGAACGAAAATAATATAAATTCAAACGTTCGCGGCATTACTTCAAAAGTGTGCTTAATACCAAGAGTAGAGCAGTAATTATTTATTGTAGATTTTTTACATGTGAACAAAGAAATTACAAACAAGCCGCCTACATTCGGGCACAAACAATTACAAACAAGCCGCCTTTCCAGGTAGGAGTATTGTTTTTTAATAGAATTGTCCACTCTTTTGGGACCTGTCACTGGATCTAACCAACGCCTTTATCCACTGTACAGAGTATGAGTTCAATACCCGCTTAAAGCAGTGGAGAACTTGGAAAGGGGAATTAACAGGAGATAACTGATAACTGACATCCATTAAACATGGCACGTGGAACTAGAACAGTCTACCCCAGTGAGCGAAATAAAGGGTTTAGTTCGACATCCCAACCACCTGAAGAAGGCCGGAGCGTAAAACAGCCGAAACGTTGTGATAAATATGGCGACAAAGATGAGGACAATAGTCCGAATAATGTAAATAGTATATATATATATATATATATATATATATATATATATATATATATATATATATATATATATATATCTCCGAGCATGACGGGCAGACTCTTTCTAGTCGCTGGTGGATATAAAATTTTGATTAGGATGACTACATAAAAAACAGTATTTTTTTTTAACTGGAAAAACTTGTTCTATCAAATGGTGTCATAATGTTCCCCGTATCTTTTGCAGTTCCATCGAAATATATTGGTGGTATTATTTCAATGCCAGATCTGTACGACACTGAGTGACAAGAAATCAGAAATTTCTAGTTCCTTCCTCAATAAGCTTTATTCCTGCTTTTGAATTTGAATTTTCGAATTTTTCTTGGTTATTGCTTGAGATTGACTGACGTCACCTTAAATCTCCAGCAGCTTACCCAGTATCCTTTAAAATTCATTTAATTTTCTTTTTTTTTTTATATATATATCTCGATATTGATTGTAAGCATATCACCTGAAATCCTTTTCTTAGGTACGGTGGCGTCTTGAATGTTTTTGTTGTGGATTCCGCGTGGAAAATAGGTATCCAATAAATGACAAACGCAAGTATTTAAGCTAAGAAATTAAATGTATTTACAAAAAATACAAAAGGTAACGCTGTTAGTAAAATCCAGGAACACGGTTAGTAGCAAATACAGATAGATATATATACAGTCTCGAAGTAGGACTTCCTTAGAGTCTACGTGCTTGTAACTGACTTCTACAAGAGGTTACTTCACTCCATCCGACACTCACAGACGACTCCGGTACGACTTCCTTCTCTGCCTGACTGTGGCTATTATATGGCAGCAGGACGAGTCCAGTATATCCGAAAAGGGTGAACCCCATAACAGTTTTTGATCAATCTACCGGATTTTCAGTTCTTACAGATTTATCGGGTATGATTTTAGGGGCCGGCCTTTAAGTGCTCCAAATACAATGGAGATAACTATCACTCTCTTGTTTCCCAGTTATTTTTAGATTTGTTTTTTTATTTATTTATCTGGTGTAACAGCAAAATTGTTCAAATCGTGTAACAGCAAAATTGTCCAAATCGTGTAACAGCATAATTGTCCAAATCGTGTAACAGCATAATTATCCATCCTACGAAATGTTTAATATCTAAAAACAACTACTAAAGTAATTGAATTTCTTTTCCATAGGTTTTTCGGATAAGATGCTTATCCATCTTGACATCATTTGTGGTAAGAATCACTGAAAAATCCTTTGATTTTTTTAAGCTAAGAAGGGAACAGGTTAAAATTATTTTGTGACAGTTCCAAATAAGCAATGGCCAGAGGAAAATGATCATTCAGACCTTCAGCAATGGTACCAAAATTTATACCCTGGCTTCCCATCTTTAAAGTTCATTCATCAAGAGACCAGCGGATAATTTTAAAAAAGAAGTGTAAAGCTGGATCAGGAGGTCACAACAGAAAAATGGATTATCATTTCTACTTAAAACTAACGATATCAATTAGGAAAGATCTAACTCAATCCTTAACTCGTTTGTCACGTGAGAGAGGAGTTTCAGCTATGACAGTACAGAGAACAGTGAAAAAAGACTTGAAAATGAAATCGTATGTGGAACGTGTGAGGTAACATCTTACTCTATAAGAGAAAGTTAGAATGTTAGAGGGCGAGTTCATCTTGAATAAGTTGAAAAATGATCCTGAATATATATATATATATATATATATATATATATATATATATATATAATATATTATAAATCCCTTCATGATCTTCCGATCCTTAGCTAGTATTAATTAATGATAAACATGTCATTCTCGTTTATGATCGATTTCAACCCGATTCTTCTGTTCTTGGAGAGTAATTTTACATTCTTATTGCTCAAAGTAGAGTCCAATAGTGTTATAAAGACATCGGAGAATTGCAGTAAAATATCTTTAATCATTTCTAAGATACAATGAGTCAGAACTTAATCTAACAAAAGGAAAATGTTTTCTGTTGTGGACAATTTTGCTGTTACACTCATTATATTTATTTACTTTTTGCTCTTTGTTCAAGTAAATGTTTAGGATATTTTGGAAAAGGAAAATCAACGTTCAAATAACTTTCCCTTCTTTTTATTTACAATTAATATATATATATATATATATATATATATATATATATATATATATATATATATACCGAGACTCGATGATCTGCTTAAATATGTTTGATATAACTCCATCCACTAAAAAAAAAAAAAATAAATAAAATAAAATTTCTAAGACTGATTACACCGGTTGACATTTCTTTCGACCCAAATGTTTTAGGGCAATGGACACATGATGCTATTTTTTCGCGCTGAATCTGAAAATTAAGTCCGTTTTTCCCCCATCACATCACGTTTTCTTAGTAGAGATAATTTTTCTGTTGCTTAAAATAGGCCAAAATGCCTAATTCACAATGATATGCCACGGATTAAATATACGATTGACATAGTTGAAATATTTCGTTTCATGTTAAAATAACTTATCATTCAAGAAAAAGTATCCAAATAACTTTCAAAACGAATTCTAAGCTATTTCAGTTCATAAAAAACTCATCTGAAAATGCTTGATTTTATGTGAGATATCTAACCGGAATAGCTTGTTAATATTTTGTGATTTGTGTTTCTTCTCTACTTTTCATAGAAGAAACTCTTTAGAAGTCATTCAAGTTTAGTTTTTATTAGTAGTGTTCACTTTAAGCCTGAAACTGTCATAGGATTCTATCATATCACTTGAATTTATGGGTGTCTGGTATTATCATGCAGTCTCTGTATAACATGCATAGGAACATCGATAAATGGAAGTTGTTAGGGTGTTAGACGAATGTATTTGAGACTAGCAAGTATAGAATTTTCTTCATCAGCGCTTAAAATAGCCATCAAACAACAGATAGGCATAGCCAACCAGGCACTTTGCAGATGGGATGTTAACATGATGGCTGATTTCTGCAGGAGCATCAAAAGAGATCAACCTTTTCAAAAGCACCGTAGAGTTTCCAAGAAGAGAAGATTTATTCATTTGGATGGACAAAAAGGAATGTATTTTTCCTTCCTTTATATCTTTGTTTTGATTCAAAAATTGATGACACATGTTTACCTTAAATTAATTTTGTGTGAGATTTTTCTGAATTTATTTTTCTGAACTGAAAATGCATTCTTTAAGTTTATGGGGATACTTTCACTTTTATAATAAGTTATTCTTTCACTTTTATGATAAGTTATTCTTTCACTTTTATGATACGTTATTCTAACCTGAAAACGTTTAAGGTCGGTTCTACTTGGCTCTAGCATATTAAATGGTTATTTTGGCCTATTTTAAGAAAATTTGGAAATTATCTGTACTGAGAAAACGTGATACGATGGGAAAATAGACTTGATTTCCAGATTCAGCGTGAAAAAATAACCCAGAAACATGTGCCCATTGCCCACAAAAGTTGGGTCGAAAAAATGTCGACCGGTGTTATAGTCTTCGTATTGGTGTTATAGTCTTCGTATTGGTCATTTGTTTGTGTCATTGAATTCTTGTTGTTTGCACAATGTTCAGTATATCACCCTTCACACCCAGTCATATCTACTTTCTTTCTTTCAATTAAGTAATTCTTCTTCTTCTTCTTCTTCTTCTTCTTCTTCTTATTATTATTATTATTATTATTATTATTATTATTTTATTACCTTTGATTTCTGATGTGTACACATTTCGTTCCGGGCACCGAGCAGAGATCTAAGGTTAGAAATGGTATCATGACTTTTTTCAATGACCAATTAAAAAAAAACACAAACATATTTTACATAGATAAATCTCTTCGTAAGGTGTGGGCTGTACTCGTGGGAACAACCTTTTTATTTCTTTAAAGCATGGACTTCCAGGAATCCCTACAATTAGTCTACTGGAATCTTTTCCAACCAATCCGAGGGCTCCAACTACAACAGGGATTGTTGATGTTCCCATATGCCACAGTTTTGAGATTTCGATTTCAAGGTCCTTGTATTTTGATACTTATTATTATTATTATTATTATTATTAATATCTCAAAATATTTTTTAACTTTTGATTTCTATGACCGGTTTTATACACCGGCATTCGTTTTATACGTTGGCATGTCCATAAGAGATGTTTTTCGTTATTTCTGAGATGGAAGAACAGTAAATCTTCCCAGAATCCTTAGTTTGTAGCCAGCGCTGTCTGAACCCTTTCTCGGATTTCCAATTTCATTCGATCTCAATTCTAATGTTGTTGGTATTGTTCCAAATGTACCTACTGTTACAGGCACAAACTCCACTATTCATGTGTCTCTCTTTAGTTGTCCTCTGCGCAGTCATATCCATAGTTGCTCGAATAGGATATCTCCCCATATTTTCTTCGAGTCACTTCAGGACTGCTCTGCACAATTTATTTTTTATGATTACTCTAAGTAACATTTGACTATTTACCATCCTCGTTCCTTTATTATTATTTTTTTATTGTTATTATTATTATTATTATTATTATTATTATTATTTCCAGAAAGATTACGGCAATTGTTGGAAAAATTTGACAATGAGCTGCAAAGAAACAAAAGTCTTGAAATAATGTATTGAGGTTCATGAAAGCGAAGAAAAAAATTCCCAATTAAAATAGAGGCAAATGAACCATTTAATTAATACGTTTCCTTTATATTTTTAGGCGTTCATTGGTGTCTAGCATTCATTGTCTAGTCACGGTATGAAAAATCATTTCTTGCTCAATATATTTTCATGTTTAATATTTCATGTCTATAATATAACAGTGAAATGGAAATATATTTCGGACGAAAAAGATTAGCAACAGAATGACAGAAACGGCGACGACAAAGCCTATTTCAAGACCAAGTTGAAGCAAGATGATCCCTTAACAGATAAAGGTATCTGAGTGCCTCACATGAAAGCTTGAACAAATGAGACTGCTATCTAAGTAATGTAGGAGTAAAGAAACGGATTAATTTTGAAAAAAAAAATATTACTAGCAATGAAAATTTTGTCGGCATTAAATAACCCATTGAGGTTGATATACCGTAAAACAAACCAAACCAAACCAAAGCACTCAAAAATTTACTAACTTTCGTTGATTTAACTTGCTTCCCACTACAGATAGGACAGGAAATATATAAATACATACACATTGATTATTGTTATGATATGGTTTAATGACAATTATTTCATGCATTAGTATGCTCGTACCTAACTTGGTATTTGAATGTTGCTTTTCACGTGTCCATAGGTATTACATCGAGTCTTATCAAGTATTACATTTTTATGTCTCCGTTTGTCGTGTCGTAGCGTATATATCCTAGCGTCTCAATGATAACCTGGACTATAGTAGCCTAAACGTCTCATCTTCTGGCAAATTCAGTCCAGAGATCGGTATATTTCTTAAAGCTTGTCAGTTGCTTTGACCATTAAATTATTGTTACGGGGTACAACCACATCAACGAAGAGGCATTTTCTTTTTTTTTGCCTCTTAATGACTGCTTTGCGGTCTGTTTGCATTTTGAAATGCCACAAGGTCTTGACTTGGTCGTTTTCGATCACCTTCTCTGGCTTGTGGCGGTATCATTTCTCGCTGACATCAAATCCGTACTTCCTACATGGGCAGCAGTGCAGGTGAGAAGTCACTTTATCAGGGCAGCACTTGTAATCTTCCTGCTCAAGCATTTTTTAAGCCCTAATAGCGTAGGTAACATTTTTCCCCTCCATGTGACACAGCCTGAACTTGTGAAAATCAACTTAGCGCAGATGTTATTGTGCACAGAATTAGTATCAAGGCTTGGTCTTGGGTGCCTAACATTCGGCTCGCGTATCAATTCGCCTTTCGTCAAACAATTCCACGAATCTTTTGTTTTAATAGACTGATACTCACGGGTCGAGTAGAGGGAAAGAGAGACAAGGTAGAACAACGCATGGCATACCCAGCGGGCTTAAGTAAGTGGATGACAGAACGTGGTCTGGGGGAGGTAGCAGAGGGAATAAACTTGTTGAGGGCTGCAAGGGATAGAGGGAGGTGGAGAGCCATGATCGCCTACGTCCTGAGAAGACATGACACATGAAAAGAAAAGAAAGTAGTACTACAAGTAGTAGTTGTATTACTAGTAGTAGAAGTAATAGTAGCAGCAAAAGGAGTAGTATTCATCATCTTCACATAGAGAGTATGTGAGAGATTTCACTTTAAATCAAATGATAGTATGCCTCTTCATTATTACTATTGTTTAATAAGTATTGCAGATTTTGGTAATTATGTCTTGAAGCATGGTTTTTACGTTTATTATTTATTTTATATTAATTAAAATTTTAATTATTTTATTGCATTTCTATTAGGGCGACGACAACGCGTTAGACAGACTTGGACTTTTCCCTCCCATTTATTCGTACTTCCTCTTTCCGACTCCTCCCTTTTCTTCCGACTTCATCTCCTTTTCCTTACTTTATACCCACCTCCTTCCACTTACTTTATACTTCGCTAACTGTTCTCCACTGCCTTCGTACTTCGTCATTATCCGCCTCCATCTTCTCCATTCTAATTCTTCTTCCAATTTCCCGCTTTCTTCGTACTTCCTCTTTATCCTCCTCCCTGCTTTTCTTTATACTTCACCTTCTTCTTCTCTATTTTTTTTCTTCTTCTTCTTCTTCTTCTTCTTCTTCTTCTTCTTCTTCTTCTTCACCGTCTACCTATCGCGGCTCCTCTTCATCTGATTTCTTCCACTTCCTCTTCCTCTCACCCTTATCTTCTTGCCTCCTCATTTCTTTCCATTCTGTTCCTTCTACTTTTACTTATCTTTTCCTGTTCTTTCGCATTTCCTACTCTTCCTTCCCCTTCCTCCTACTCCTCTTCCTCTTCTTGAATTTTAATTATTTTTACATCTTGCGCTCTTCTTTCTCAAAAGTATTTCCCTTTCTTACTCCGTCTTCTTTCGCTAACATTAGAAATATATCCATCTTTCCTGTTTCTTCTTCTTCTTCTTCTTCTTCTCCTCCTCCTCCTCCTTCTTCTCCTCCTCCTTCTTCTTCTTCTTATCCTCCTCCTTCTCCTTCTTCTTCTCCTTCTTCTTCTCCTTCTTCTTCTCCTCCTCCTCCTCCTTTTTCTTCTTCTTCTTATCCTCCTCCTCCTTTTTCTTCTTCTTCTTTTTCTTCTCCTCCTCCTCCTTCTTCTTATCCTCCTCCTCCTTCTTCACCTCCTTCTTCTTCTTCTTCTTCTTCTTCTTCTTCTTCTTCTTCTTCTTCTTCTTCTTCTCCTCCTCCTCCTTCTTCTTTTTCTTTTTCTTCTCCTCCTCCTTCTTCTTCTCCTCCTCCTTCTTCTCCTCCTCCTGCTCCTTCTTCTTCTTCATCTTATCCTCCTTCTCCTCCTCCTCCTCCTTCTTCTTCTTCTTCTTCTTGGCGGGTATTCCTGTTTTTTCGGATTCTTCATTTTTTTTTTATATATTCTTATTCCTTGACTTTTTCTTTTTTATTTTATTTTTATTATTTTTCTTCATTTTCGTTTTATTATTATTATTACTATTATTATTATTATTATTGTCTTCTTCCACCTCATCGTCTTCCCTCCTAACTTCTATCGTCGACATAACAATTACACTTTCGCCCCCCAACCACGGCATTCTCGACAATCCGAATAGCTTAATTAAGTTTAATTATTTCCCCTTTGTCTTCCGAATCTAATGAAAATCTTCCAATTTAATCAAACCCACCTAGTAAGGCCAAAAATCAATTATTCTGTGATAATTGCATTTTCAATCGGCTAACATATTTTTATCTACTTATATTCAAATATGCCCGGCAAATCATGAGGAAATCGATAATTGTTTCTTATTTATATTCCATTAATAATCGATCTGTGAATGGAGTCGTTTCTCTCCACGCCCCCATTCCCCCGAAGTTACATTTCAATAATAAAGAACAGGACTCTGTTGATATAAGATGATTATAGCGGACAGATTTATAGAGTTACAGCATCAGAATGGTGGATGTAAATGAAAGACTCATTTCAACAAACGATTCCTTATCAGCGTTATTTTCGATTTATATCTTCTCGGTTATATAAAAAAAAAGAACATATTTACAGAAGACAAATCAGTCTATTAATACGTGTTTCATGCAATTGCCTACCTATATACATTGTTCATATCTATCTATCTATCTATCTATCTATCTATCTATCTATCTATCTATCTACCTCAGTCTTTGCTTCTCTAGCTAGCTACCAAGGTAAGCAGATCATTCCGTTCGTATCTATCTATCTATCTATCTATCTATCTATCTAGATAGATAGATAGATAGATAGATAGAATAAACAAACTGATATATATATATATATATATATATATATATATATATATATATATATATATATATATATATATATCAGTTTGCTTATTCTTTCTTGCATTCTGTCAATCAATCTCTCACATTCTGCTTATTCTATCTATCTATCTATCTATCTATCTATCTATCTATCTATCTATCTATCTATCTATATCTATCTACACGGGATTTTATGATGGTGTGCTTGAAAGTACTCGGTTCGACCAACTTCCTAAATCCAGCTAAATTTGTGGAAGGTCTTCTTGTTAGTGCGGATAATTTTTTAGCGTTCAATATATACATAGTAATGAAGATTTTTTTTTATATATTTGAATGTTGCATTTTTACGTGTCGTTGTCAGCTTGAATTTGATGTTATAGAATTAATATGTTTTTGATACTGAGTGGATTGCTTTTGATAGTTAAGCCTTTCAATATTTGTGATCGTCTTTTTCATAGTTTATACGATATATTATATTTTTATTACTGATATGCTTTGTCGGATTTCTTGTGTTCTGTTCGTTGTGATTCAAGTGTGATATAAAAAATCACCAAAGAAGACCAATATTTACAACATTATAAAGTATCACTAAATTCTTTCATAATTGTCTCCGAAGACTAAAAGAGGTCAGAAGAGGTCCCCTTCTATGACCATCCAAGTAACATCGACATACAACTTGATGGCATTTCCATGGATTCAATTCTGGGACCTACATTTAGTAACATTTACATGACCAACCTTGAAAATAAGATATTTAAGAACATAAAAAAACTTCCATTTACCTAAAATATGTAGATGATATTCTTACATGACCAACCTTGAAAATAAGATATTTAAGAACATAAAAAAAAAACTTCCATGTACCTAAGATATGTAGATGATATTCTTATCTTAGAAACTTAGATAAAATACATCAACTCCAAAAAAAAACTTTTAAAATAACCGTCCTTAACTTCACATATGAATTAAACATTAATGATAAAATCCTTTTTCTTGGTGTATTGATAGACACTAATAATAATATAATTACTACCTTCAAACAAAAAAAACAAAAAAAATAATATAAACACTTGCACTCTAACCTATAGAAGTTCATACCCTATTAGAAAAAAAGCTATTATACAAAATTTGGTACACTGTGCTGAAGTTAACTCCTCCACGAAAAAAAAGTTTCTACACTGTATTAAAACATTAAACAAACTCTCACTAATAATGACTTTCTTAATTACATCGTTGATGCCCAAATTAGATGAGATCTTAGCAATATTAACATAAATCAAATAGAACACAATATTTCCACAAATAACCCTAAACTAACTCTATAAATCTGTCCGCTATAATCATCTTATATCAACCTACTACATCAGAATCAAATCTGTTCTAACGATAAACAAGATGGAAAAGTCCTAATAAATTTCATAAGTACTAATATATTCTCCACTGATTCCAGTAAAATATAAAACTAATTATATATTATACTAAACTTAACACAACCAACTTAATCATAAGCAATATTTCTTTTCCATCCACTAGCGTCTAACATTGTATATCAGTTTAATTGTCCTTTAAGAAAAAGTAAGTAAATATGTTGTATCAACGACCACAACATTATCAAGACGTCTTACTTTTTATTTATCGGATACAAGTTCTATTTCACAACATGTGAAAAACACATTTCTGTTCACCTTCACAATACAGAAAAAAATACTTGACAACATCAATATACTACACCAGGAAAAGAATAAAGAAAGTCTTCAAATTCTAGAGGCATTGTATATCAAGATCTATTGACCAACACTTAAGAAAATTTATTACAAATATAGTAACAGCATATATATACTAATGGCATTTATCCATGTCTATCAATTAGTTGTCAGCTCCCTCATATTGAAACGCTTGCTTTGTACCAAAAATTCGATAACTTCAACGAAAAAATGAAACAATTCTAAAATAGCTCGTTCGCACATGAATTTCATCTCAACATCAAGAAACTAATTCAGACAACCGGAAAGGATCAGTATAAAAATAAGTAGACACAATATGTCGATATTAATCAATGAAACACACACACATACAAATACGCATATATATATATATATATATATATATATATATATATATATATATATTAGTAGTAGTAATCTTATAAGTATAAGAAATTATACTGTCGGAAACCTTCAGTGTTTTGATTTGCAAATAAACCAATACCAAAGGAAAAAAAAGGTATAAAAAAAGAAAGAACCAAGAACATGTACATTAGCCGAAAATAATCGTCTAGCATGCAAGTTCAAATCCCAAAGAAAAAAAAACGATACGAGTAGGCAAAATAACTAAATAAAGTGCTCAATACAGTAAGAAGAGCAGACCTAGTTAAACCTAGAGAGCCAGACAAACGTATTAAGGTTTCACCAAAGCGGATCGTCACGGAAGGCTGGTGTTTTTCTTTATTGACTATATGTATTCCGTTCTTTTTTACTTTTTTAGCCAACCTTCCCTGACGATCCGCTTAGGTGAAACCTTGGTAGGTTTGTCTGACTCTCTAGGTTTAACTATATATATATATATATATATATATATATATATATATATATATATATATATATATATATATTCTACGTATATTAATGTATGCCTTAATCTGTTTATTAATTTTGGTATGTGTCATATAGGAAGAAAATGAGAAACTACCGTCACTGAGTGACAATTTCTACTCATGAATATATGTTTTACGCTAGGTGTATAAATAGTGGTATCAGGCTACTGACTGCAGTGATTATTGAATATTTATTTAGTGGTTATATAGTGAACATTGAGTGGATCTGTTCAGTAGAATTATATGCGTCGATGATTTGTGTTTTAATTTAGGATTTACTGGACATTAAGTCGAGCAGCGCAACTAACAAGGTATTCACTGAAATGCTTAATTATCTTTGGTTGATTTTTACTCCTTTGTTCTTGTTAAGTATTTATTTGCAGTTGTAATTAATTACTGTTTTATTCTAACATTGAAGTCTTGAGTTATACTTAATTATTAACGGCTACCCTACGTCAAAAAGTATGCAGCTACCTTGTGCTTTTAATTATGGTTAAGACAGTTTTGTTGTATAAATCATGCTCGGTACAGTACCAGATTCATGTTTGTTCTATTAGCAATATCAGTTTATTGATTTTGGTGTGGGTATCAGTTTCCAATGAAAAAGGCGAAGATAAACGTGAAAGGTATTTCGGAAAAAGAGGATAGGGAGAAGAAAAGAAAGAAAGGAAAAGTAAAGAAAAGAAAAGGTAGGAAACAAAACAGGAATGCAGAGAGGGAGAGAGAAAGAGAGAGAGAGAGAGACGTGGGGGGAGAGACAGAATTAAAAGAAATAAAACCCATAGATTCAATTTCATAAATCAAGACTATAACTCTATATACGAACATACAATAATCTTTCAAGATTATCAGTACAGAAACAAGTCAGCTTTTGTATTTAGTTTTTGGTGAGGGGGCCGGGGTAATGTATCTGTCAGTGAGTAAATTCCTGCAGTCAATCTTGTTTATCAATTCGTTAAGACTGCCCTTTTCTACTCTTCTGCTAAAGTCTGGCCATTTGTCCGACTGTCAATCTTAATTGTCTGTACACTTCAGCCATTTTGTTTTGTCGAGCGCAGAGAATGGATAGTTCATAAAGTGCATTGTCTTGCTTAGCGTCATCGTATTCCTTTATTTATCCTCTTGACCAAATAATTTCTCCGGTTGACAGCACTGTCATTTGTCTCCATTTTCACACACAAACACCCACACGCGTCATCACGCGTAAATACACACACACACACACACACACAGACGCACACACACGTATATACAGCATTCTTTTTATACAAATACGAAAATCTAGAATCGAAATAAAAAAACAAAAAAAAAAAACAAAACTGATATATAAAAATGGAAATAAATAAAAGTAAAACGTGAGTAATTAAATTAATTCAAACTCCAGGCTATAGATACTATGAAAAGGTTCAATCTTATCAAACAATGCACAATATGGCTTCAGGGATTGATTGATCTATCTATCTATCTATCTATCTATCTATCTATCTATCTATCTATCTATCTATCTATCTCATTCTATTCAAATCTACCTATCTGTTTTTCTGTCTGTCTGCCTGTCTATCTAGCTGGCTGTCTGTCTATCTATCTATCCATCTATCTAACTTATTCTGTTCAAATCTATCTATCTATCTATCTATCTATCTATCTATCTATCTATCTATCTATCTCATTCTATTCAAATGTACCTATCTGCCTTTCTGTCTGTCTGTCTGTCTGTCTGTCTATCTGATTGTCTATCTATCTATCTATCTATCTATCTATCTATCTATCTATCTATCTATCTATCTATCTTATTCTATTCAAATCTATCTATCTATCTATCTATCTATCTATCTATCTATCTATCTATCTATCTATCTATATTTATATATATTCGTATATAAATATATGTACCGGGTGTAACAGAAAAATTCTCCAAATCGTGTAACAGAAAAATTGTTCAATTTTTAGATTAAGATTTGAACCGATGTGTCTTAAAAATGATTAAAGAGATCTTACTGGAATTCTCCGTGGTTTTTATAACAGTATTGGACTCTATATTGAGCAATAAGAATGTACAATTACTCTCCAACCTTAACAGAAGAATCGTGATGAAATCGGTCATAAACGAAAACGACATGTTTATCATTAATTAATCATAGTTAAGGATCAGAAGCCCATGAAGGATTGAAATAAAGTTCAAACACACACACACACACACACACACACACACACATATATATATATATATAGACAGATATGGTTTATCATATATATAGGACTAGACGTAGGATCGAAAACCGACTGAATTGGCGCACGGCAGGGATGAAGGTGAATTAAGCTTTTATATATATATATATATATATATATATATATATATATATATAT